TGTCTGTTGCCTGCAACTGAGAATGTTGCCTTATATAGAAATTGGTGCCAGTGGTGATTGCAGGCAATGTATGTTGGAGGATATTGGTTATCTGGACTGCCTAGGACTGAAGACAGTAAAAATGCAGCACATAATAAGGGATCAGATCTGGAATCCTGGGGCATGTAGAGGGAAACAGCAGTTCAGACTTGCCACCTGGACACCTGGAATGAACAGCCCACTGAAGGAAGGCTTTATTGAGGCTCCATTGCCTTAGAAGAGCATGTAAGGAAGGAGGAATTAGCCTGTGGGTGTGGGCTGCTGGTTCTTACAGTGCTGGACAGTTGAAGAAACAGAAGACAATCCCCTCAATCCTAGATTCTTAGCTTAAGATCCCGATCAAAACCTGTGCCAAGACCCATGCTTCTGTGCTAAAAGCATCTCTTAATTCTTGCCGCCACAAGGCTGAGATAGTCAAAAGTGAAACTTAGAATGTGAGCCTGGAAAATGGAGAGTTACACTGTTAATGGATGCCACGGCCTGACCAGCTCCGCTCTGAGCACGTTAGACTGACTGATGGCTGGAAAGGAGTGAGGTCAGCATTTGCACAGAGCCACATGGGAGGCTTGAGGTGATGCTGAGTCCCCTGAACCCCTGTCCCCACCAAGCCCCATTGCACTCTAATAATGCAAGACCCTTTTAATGACCCTCCCATGCACAGCCATCCCTCAGTGTCTTCAGACCACATTTGTGGTCCCCAGACAGCTGGTGAGGAGGGCAGGATTGAATATTAACTCCAAATCAAAATCTGGGCAAATTTTGCCATTTCATACCATTAGAACTTTGGAGATGATGTGTGAATGGATCAACGAGCTGAGCTGTTAATCTGGCCATACCGGCCGGCAGTTCTGGCCTCATCAGCTGGACATGGCCCTTATTGTTTCCAGGGCTGGTCTGTTGGTTGGCGGGTACACTGAAGACCGACTCAGCAGTGGCCCACACATGGAGGTGGAGATGATGGGAACGCTGAGGTACCACGTACAAGAGATGGTGAACTAACCATAGGTGACCCACTGCACCCACCCACAACCTCTGTGAAAACCCAAACAGCTGTCATCCCTTCACCAAGACCATATGAACCGCCTTGTTGAGAAAGCCCAACAGCCTTCACATGAAGGTCTCAGCGTTCAGGAGGGGAGTTCTGCTGTGGCCTGACTCCTGACTTCTAGGGCAGAAACCAAGACCTCGGGGGAGCAGGGGCCGCATGGCAGCAGTGCCTGCCAGGGGCAGAGTGTGCGTGTTACCCTACCAGCAGCAGGATGAGGTGGCCAGCCAGTGGTATGGCTAACAAGAAGTGGAGGGGCTAAAGGATCACAAGGTCCCCAGGGCAAAAATGGATCAGCAACCAGCGACCCACAAGGACATGTGGCTTTTATAACCAGATTGGTCTGGGTCTGACTTGAGCCCCACTGGACAGACATGTGGTGCCGCCGAAGCCCCAGACCTAAGTCAGTACATGGACACAGAGCTCCCTAAATGAGGCAAGAGCCTGACATCATGTCCCACGTCTGTCGCATGAATCTCCTCCCAACACTCCCCCAAGGGGACTGTGGCCATTACAGGAGAATGGGGTGCTGGGGAGCAGGGGAGGGGCTTTGCACCTCACTGAGGCCTTGTGTCCTCATCTGTAACATGAGGACAATAATGTCTGCTTAAAAGGATTGTCAGGTTAATTGAGTAGAATAATGCAACAGTGCCTGGAATATAAATGTGCACAGGGGCTGCAGCTGAACTTTTAATCCCTCGGTGATTTTGTGTTCATTCTTTCATTTGTTGCTATCGTCATTCCACCGTACTGTGATCAGCCATTTGTTGGATGCTGAGAGTTAAAAAATAACAGCCCCTACCATAGACCAAGGTGAAGGATGTTCCGCGCCCTCACGTCTCTAACCCATGCAACAGCGCTGTCGTCAGGCAGTGGGACAGTGGGAGGCAGCCACACCGGGATGGGGGCCCAGCTGTGCTCTGTTGCTCAGCCTGGGCTCTCTCCACTGTGGCACCAAGGTCCTCAGAAGTTAATGGAATGGGGTACAAGTACAGAGCTTGAGACACGGTGAAGGTAACAGAGAGGAGGGGGAAGGAGGGGATGGATGGATGGATTGATGGATGGTGGATGTATGATGGATGGATGATGGATGAATGGATGGATGGATGGAATATGGATGGGATGGGAGGAGAGGTATAAATGTGAAGAGAGATGATGGCTGGATAGACTTAGAAGATGGATTCATCATGACCTCAACCCTTGGGGACCTTCCAGTCCAGGAAGATGGCAGCGCTAAGCATGGAGCTAGCTGAGAAGTTGAAATATCTTATCTGTAGTGATTGACACCCTCAGGATCTGCAGGTTTCCAGCCACCTGACTGTGTTGAAGATGAGCCAGGCAAGCTGCCACCTAGGGCAGATATATTGATTGTTCCAATAGCAGACCTTTATGTTCATTCATTCAACAAGCATTTAATGAGCACCTACTATGTACCAGGCACTAGTCTAGGCTCTGGGGACACAGGAATGAACAAAATAACTCCATGTGGCATTTCCATGGGGGTGGGGGAAGACAAGGGAAGAGGGGGTACATGTAGAATGAGCTCGAGAAGGGGAGGTACTATGGAGATAAATAAAGCAGGGTAAGAAAGGGGTGCTTTAGGGGTAGGGGTCTGCCCTTTTGGGAAAGTTGGACAAGGCAAGCTTCACTGGTGGGTTGGCACTTGCCTAGGGACCCAAAGGAAAGGCAGGAGTGAGGCCCAGATGTGGAAGAAGCAGTGACTTTCCCAGGACTCAGTAACCACGTGGCTGGATATGTTTATAACCCAGGTTATATACAGGTGTTGGGGTTCTGGGGCACCTTGTCTGATGGTAGAAAACAGTGGAAACACACCAAATACAGTGTCAGCAGAGGAGGAGGTGGCGGAATCCATCCAGTCAGGAGCTGCATGACCTTATTCCCTTTAGGTCTGTTTGCCATCCCTCTGCCATTCATTTTCTCCTCCGTTCCTTAAAACAATCTTGCAAGTATTAAGAGTGCACAGGTATTTTGTTGTAAAAGTGGTAAACATTCACTGTTTTGTTATTTCATGGAGGCAGCAAATGCTAAGCCTTCAAAGACGGCCACAGTTCTGCTCTAGTTGAGGGAGGGGGCTCCTGGCTGGGACAGAGAAGGCTCCCCATGGGAAATGAGCTCTAATTTCAAATAAAGCCCAGGCTTTGGATAAAGGAGAAGTGTTCATAAGGTGAAGCTGAATGCATAAAGACAGTGCAAGATAAATGGACTGGCCTGGCAGTCACATCATCTCTTTCCCAGAGAAGGGGGCCACTTATTAGGATTAGGTTCAATTACAAAGGACGGAAAACTCAAAATAAGAATTGCTCGAACAGAAATTTCTTTCTTTCTTATATAAAAAACCCTGCACTAGGCAGTTAGGTGTCAGGGACCCTGGTCCTTTCCATATTGCCCCACCAATTTCAGCATTTGGCTTTCACCTCATGGCTCAATATAGCTGCTTGAGCACCAGACATCATGTCTGTGTTACAACCAATAGGGTAGAGAAAAGAATGAAGATGGGAAAACCTTATCCTCAGCAGAGGTTTCTAGAAGAATGCCACTTTAACTTGGTGGTTCTAAGACCTTGACAGCACTGACCAGGCCACTGGAAGGTCCACGGGCTTGGTATTACTGCTCCCTGGGATAACACCAGGGAGGGGAGAGGGCAGTTCTTCCTGTTCCCCCAGGGGAAGTTCCTGCAGCCATCAGAGCACAGTACAGCTGTTGGCAGCTGCCAAGGCGTGCTGGGCCCTTCAGCTGCCCTCTAATTTCCATCTCCTAGTGATCTCCCCTTGTCCTCCCAACCAAAGCCTTCTCTGGTGTCCTGGAAACCCAGAACACTAGGGGTTCAGGGAGAGGGGAAGGTCCTACAGATGGGGGTGGACAGGCATGAGTAGGAGTTTCCACACAAACTCCTCTGACTGCACCGCCCATCACCACCGCAGGTGAACTCCACCACCTCAAGCGTAGGGCTAAAATCCCAGGATGAATTTAAATCAAATTGCTACAAAAGACCACATACAGACCGACACATGGTAGGGGTTCAAGGGAGTGAGTGAATGAATGAATGAATGAATGAATGAATGAATGGAACCAGTCAATCACCAATCGCTCAATCATGGGAGCTCAAATGTTATTCAGTCTAACCTCAGCCAAGCTGGCACCCAGGTTCCACTTACACACTTGCCAGGGCCAGGGAGCTCACCAGGGCAAAATACTTTCAGTTTTAGGTCATCCTTAATGAATCAGATTCTTGACCTCCTCAGTTTCCTCATCAGCCCCAGTCTCCCTGCAGGTGGGACCCAGAACATATTTAGAATCTTGTTTACGGCATGGCACCCAAGTCTTCACAGGCAAGGGAAAACACGGAGTCCCACAGCTGGGCCTTGAAGGCCATAAGGCCCCTGGTCATCTTGTGTTTCAGATGAGATTCTGGCCAGAGGGGGCTGTGAGGAGCCCAAGGTCACACAGATGGCTAAGGGCTCAGCCAAGATCAGACCCAGCCCCATCTTTCAGCTCTGTTCCTTCTAAACCCCACAGCCCCTCAGGGACCTTCTCCAGCCTTCCCTCCCCACACTGGTACCCCCACCCCACGACGCTGAGGCTTGCTCCCCTTATGGAGCCCCTCAGGCTGGAGATGCCCATCTCTGTACACACGGGGCCAGGAGTTGTGGCCTGGGTGTCAGGAGCTGCTGCAGGGCAAGGCCTATGGAGGGTCTGCGTGCCTTTCCCACCCCCAGACACAGCCTCCCTGAGAGCAGCGGGCCCATGCGTGTGCGTACACGTGTGCACAAGTGTGCGGCGGTGTGTGCCTGAGCATCCCAGGGTGAGAGGAACATGTGGCAAGCTGTCGGCAAACTCTGCCAACGCGGAAAGGGCGACTGTCACGCACAATGCCAACAGACACATCTCCAGGAGATTCATTTGGTTTTGTTTTGTGGTTATTTTTTTTTTACAACTTTAAATACGGAATATAAATAAATTTTACATTTAAAAAATAAAAGGAAAGCCCCCAAAAATATAATCACCAACTTTACAAACTGAAGGAAGCAGATTTTGGAGAGGGGGAGGGGGGAAGCGCAGTGGGAGGTAGAAAGGGAGGTGGGAGCTCAGACCCCACCCCTACGGGCCCTGGGGACCTTTCCCCTTCCCTCTCCACCCCCACTCCCAGCCCAGGAGCTGGTTTCCTGGGAGGAACCACCGTAGGTGGAACGCAAATGGATCTCAGGCGGTGGCAGCGTGCAGCGGGGGGCAAGGGCTGACCCCCTCTCTCGGTGACTTCCTCTCGGGTTTTCCATACCTGCTGGAAGGGGGGCTGCTTAAGCTGAGCACTTGGAGATGTGGAGGCCAGATGCACAGCAGCATGCATGGGCTCCCTCCTGTCTGACCACCCCAAGCCATGGGCTGGGTCAGGGGCATAGCCAGTCCACACAGAGCTTTTGTGCCAATTAGGAAAAGGATTCCTTTCCTCAGGACATTTGACCTCCATCTGCCAACTGTTTTTTAACAAATACACAAATTAATCAAGTTTATGGTGGGAATGGTGATCCCGGCATGCAGTGCCCTTGTGCAGTGCATACCCTGCACTACCTTACAGTCTTGGCTGCACTGGGGTATGATGGGCAGGCCCTCTGCCACCCTGGCCGCTGGTCTTCTGCCCAATGGAGCAGTGACTGGGGTTGTTCAGGGCCTCAATAAGTGGTGCAAGAGCCCCATGGTAGAACAGACTGAGGGCCAGGACAAGAGGAAAATGCAGGTTGGAGGTAGAGAGATGAAACACAGGAGGAAGTGAAGGAGGGACTGGAAGGGGTAAGGAGGCAATGGACGCCCAGGTCACCATCTATGTCCACCTCCGGGGCAAACTTCATCTCTAAGCCGTCTGAGCCGCCTGGAGGAGTCCTTATCTTCAAAGGTTTCATTTGTATAAAATGAAAGGAAGCCACTGTGTGAGCAGAGGTGACAGGGAAAGGTGGCTGGGCATGGGCACTGCAAGAGGGGCCTTTCTCCAGCCTACGCTCCCCCACGTGGTCTCAGCCACAGGAATATGAGTTAAGTGGCCTGCCTGGGGATGTTCTCTTCAGAGCTGGCTGGGAGTCCAAGGACCAGGCAGGCCATGCCTAGAGGTCCTCAGCCATGTGCAGGGTTTGGGCCAGTCCGCGGCTCTCGGGTGGGGCCTTGGACAGTTGCTGGGGAAGGGAGGTCCTTGCCCCAAACAGTGACTCCACCGGCCTCTCTTGCACTCTTCTCCCAGATTCCTGGGCAGGCAGGAAGACAGCGATGGAGTTCAGGTCCTTTGTTTCCTTCTTGAGCTCCTGGGCAAGATGCTGGAGGCACTGAAGGAAGACCCACTGGCAGAGGGGTGGACGGGTGCGTGGAGGGGTGGGGGAAGCACCATTGGCCGTCCGAATCAGGCATCGAGACAGACGGACGAGGGGAACAATATTATCACTCCAAGGACCCCATGGGGGCAATACAGCAAATACCTTATTAAATAACCCTGTAGGCCAAGCAAAGGAATACAGGGGGTCACATACAGCCTAGGGCTCCATCCCACACTCACATGCTCCCCCAAGCCAGGGGCAGGGAGCTGGGGTCCAGCAGCAGTCAGGGCCGGGGGGCTGAGGTTTAGACCTCCCACTCTCTTAGGGCATGCCAGGACAGAGCCCCTCACCCACCTGCCCCATGGAAAATCTCAGTTGACTACTGGGCAGAGGGGATCAAGGCTTAGAGGCGGGATTTTGTATGGGAAATGCTTTTTCCCAACCCCTTCCACAGCCTAAGCCATGGGCCAGGGAGAAGGAAACATGGGGTTCTGGGCCTCAGCTTTCCCGCCTGGCCCTCACCTGCCCGCGCTCTCCTGCAGATGTCCCTAGGCTCCGAGGGTCTCCTTCAGTGCCATCTTGTCATGTGTGTGCTTGAATTTCCGGTGCTTCCCCTTGGGGGGTCGGCGGACCCGCACTGTCCTAATGGTCACCCGAGTTTGGGGCGTCCTCGCTGCTTGAGAGAAGGAAAGGTGTTGTGAGCAGGTGGATGGCTGCAGGAAGGGGTCTATCGTCTCCACCAAGACCTGCCACAGACCTCCGCAGGTCCTCTGCGCAGAGAGGGGCAGGAGGGAGTCTGCGGCCAGACGTTCTGGGTTCGAATCCCAATTCCACCACTGGCTACCCGTATGTGCCTTGGGGACGATTACTGAACCTCTCTGGCTTCCCCATCTGTGAAAGAAGCCTGCCCGCCTCAGAGGCCTGGTGGAATGAGTAAGAGAGTAAGTGGCAGTGTACTGGCAGACATGGAGCGGAGTACGCCAACTATGGCCTCGAGGTCTTTTGCATCACCCAGCTCACATGCCCTCTATTTTCATGCCCCTCGAATCTGATCTGGCCTTGGATCTGTTAACCACTAAAAGGAGGCAGAAGTGGAGCTGTGCCCGTCCCAGGCATAAGCCTGAAGAAGGCCTGGCAGCTTCCACCTTTGCACTTGAGAGAGTCCTCTGCTGCCACACTGATGTCTGGCTGCCCTGCTGGGGAGGCCATGTGGGGAGGAGAGGCCCAGCTGAGCCCAGGCAACCCAAAGACCAGGGAGAGAGTGAAATGGCTGCTGTCTGAAGCCACTAAGGTCAGGGTAACAAGTGATTAGCAAATGGAAGATACTCTCCAAGGTGTTCCTAGTTCCTCAGCATGACCCCTTACTAAGGTTTCCTCCCACCAACCTCTCAGCCACCGGCAGTCATGTGATGAGGGGGCACTGGGCTCAGGCCAGAACCACACCCCACCCTGCAGCTGGGTCTGTCCAGGGGTTGTGCCTGTGGTCTGCCTGCCCTCACCACGCCAGGAAGCAGCATGGCAGAGTGGGCCAGACCACCTGGGTTCACATCTGGGCTCCCCCAGGTGTTGGTTATATGCTTTGGGGCAAGTCACAGAAACACTCTGTGCCTTGATTTCCATATTTTTAAAACTGAGATGACAGTAGCCCTGGCCTCTTAGGGTTAGGAGCTAGTACACAGAAATAACCAGCATTCCTCAGCTAGCCCTTATCACACACCTGGCAATGTTCTAAGCTCACTTATTCTCAGGGAAGGGACCAATGCCTACATTCAACAGATGAGGAAACTGAGGCAGAGACCCTGGGATCTGAACCCAGGATCTGCCTGTGGAGTTTGTATTTTCAAACATGGGACTAGAAATGACAGTGCCTGTAAGTCCCCAGTCAAGGTCAGCAGTTACGTCTCTCTTCCTCCTGGGCCTCTAGATTGGACACCCTGGCTGTGAAAGCCTTCTCCACCAAGGACAAGGTCCACCTCCTCCTGGGAGCCTTCTGAGTTCTCCACAGCCCACCAAGCTCTTTTGAGCCAACATCTCACCTCCCACCTCACAGACACAAGCTCCCACGAGGCAGTGACCCCATCCCTGCAAACAGGTACTCTAGAGACTCAGGCAGGTCTCCGATTGCCCCGAGGGCAGGACACCCAGGAGGGCCACTGAGGGGCCTCGAGTTTCTGCGCCACAGCCTGGGCCCCGAGCAGACTTCCCATAGCTCATGAGAGAGGGAGCAGAGATTTGCACCCAGGAGACCTGTGACTGAGCACCACATGGGCCACACTACCAAGCCTTAGCCCAGCCTGGGGACAGCTGCTAGACGTACCACCACCCAGGGACAAAATGCTGAAACCCAAATGGCAAGAATTTACGTTGCCTACATATTAATTGGTTGAACATGTCTCCAAGAAACTGGTTTTGAAAATCACATGAAACAAAGGCATGTAATAGAACCCCACTAGAAACATAAAGAATATAGTTTTCCTGAATAGAAACCATACTCTGTGTTAACTCTACAAATACTGAACAACACATCAGTTTGAAGCTGTGAGATTATCAGCCTTCCCAGAGCATCCATACCTCGGCTTAGCTCTGAGAATAGGGTGAAGAGGCTAAGAGACAGCCCTGCCTTCAGAAGGTTTATTAGTAAGAAATGACAGTGAGATTGTTCTGTCCTTTAACAACAGAATATTACTGAAAATCAAAATAGTCCCCTGCATGATTTTTTTATGCTCATCTAATCATATAAATTTAATAATTCTTGATCTTTACTGCAAATATGCAGGGGAGAAAAAGCAGCAGGATATAGTCCAAATAACCCAGGACTAGAGGTTACAAGACCTGGGTTCTGAGCTAGGTTTTGCTGCTGTGAAACCTTTATTAAGTCCCTCACCCTCTCTGTGCTCCAGCAGCTCCATTAGTAACACTGAATGACTGACTGGCATGTCTCTAGATCACTCTGGCTCTAAACATTTTAAATCCTTAAAAAAAGAAAGACAAGGCAGGTAGGAGCCAACATCAGCTGTCAGGGAGAGGGAGGAGCCAAGAACAGAACTTCAGGAGACTTGGGTCCCAGCTACGCCCCTGCCTGGGAGCCTCTCTGGGCCTCAGGCACCTTCTCTGCAAAAAGCGGAGGAAGCAATTGGACCAGATCATATTTTTGGTCCCGTACAACTCTTTAAGTTGAACTATGTCCCTAAAATTGTGAATTCGTGACATCCAAGGAGAGGAACAGAACTCTACTTCCATTTATCAGTCTGATGCTTGAATCCCATCTGTCACATCCCTGCTATAAGGCTGACCAGCCTTTACCCACACACCTTCAGTGACAGGGAACTCACTACCTCACAAGGCAGACAATTGCATCTTGGACCCCTGACTGACCACCAGTTTTTAATACATGGAATTAAAACGGCACTCTGGTGGCTTTTCCCCACTGGTTCTAATTTCCCACACAAGGCCACAGGAAATCAATTTGATTTCTCACCCCTGGACAAGTAGTCAAATATCTGCAGGGGGCTGTAATAGCAAGACTGGGATGGGGGCTGCTTGGGATAGAGTGGTCAGGACTTCCAGGAGGAGGTGACTGACTTGAGCCAAGACCCAGATGAAGAGAAGGAGCAGGCTAGTGAAGCACTGAGAGCAGCAAGTTTCAGAGAGAATAGCATATGCAAAGGCCCTGAGGCAGAAATGTATTTGGCCACTCAAGGAGGCCAGGCTGGTCAGGGTGGCATAAGTGAGGAGGACTGGTTGGCAGCAAGGCCAGAGGGCTACAGCCTCACACAGGGCTTCAAAGGACGGGGAGGAATCTGGATTGTTCTCAGTGAGATGGAAAGCTTCAGATGAATTTAACCAGAGGTGTGCCTGATCCAATTTCCCCCCATCAGCAGTTGCCACAGGAGAAGGGAGCTGCGGGGCTAAGCAACTGAGAGGCAGATTCTGGACCAGTGGTTACCTCGCTGGTCCTGGGAATTCCCCGGGTTTCGGGTCACGGGTCGTGCAGCCACCACTGTCTCACACTTGCACGCCAAGTGGTCCTCCAGGGTCACCGTGGCCTTTTTAAAGGTCGGCTTCTTCCGCACAATCTCGATCTTTCTCACCTGGAGGACAGAACCACCCAAGTGCCTCTGTAAGACCACACAGGCAGTGGCTGAGGAAGCCTGCCTGCCTGCTCTTCCCACCCAGCACCCCCAGCAAGGATCTTTCCTCGAAAGCCCAGAGAGCAGCAGGGCAGACAGTTTGGTCCAAACAATAGCAGGACCTTGCCCTCTGCCCTTCTCGTAGCTTTTCCATCAAAACAAGCCCTCCCGACCTGGCTTCTAGCTTGGCCACAGCCCCCCTTGGCGCTTCCAGAAAGGGAGAAAGGCATTTCCGGGTTGAGCATGGAGACTGTGGTGTCCTCATTCCGGGAGCGCCAGCCAAGGTCAGGGGCTGTGACGAGGCGGGAGCTGGTTGTCTGGAAGGAAGCAGGGGGAGGCTTTACCCAGGAGGGAGGTGGGAAGGGGGAGGTCAGCTGTCAGGTATCCATCCAGAGAGTTGGAAGCACTGGGGACAGTGCGTGGTGGGGCAGAGAGTGACATCTTGGGCACTGGGCCCAGGCCTGGGATGGAAGGTGGGCAAGAGGAAAGCACAGCTGACATGGGGGAGGGGAGTGTGTGGAAGCAGGCAGAGCATTTGGCAAAAGCAGGACCAGCATCCCGTGCTGAGCCTAGGTGTGCCTACCGCCCAGCTGCTCGGCCCAGCCTGAACTGGTGTATGGGCCAGCCTGACCCGAGGGGTGCAAAAACTTTTCCACTTGAATCAGAAGACAGTTGAGGCTTCCCTGGCTCTGCCTTGCCCAGCACGAGACAGGTGATCCTCAGGGCAGCCTCCACTCTAACAATCCCCTTTCCAGAAAAGAGGCAGGACTCAGCATTCTGACTCTTTGCAAAGGGCTGCCTCAGCTCTCACAGTAGCGTCACCTACACCCTCCTTGTTAAAGACACAGCGTGTCCAGGGGTGATGTGTTAAAGATGCAGGGGCACCTAACCAAGCGTGTCTCTCTATAAAACCAAGAAACAGAGCCCTGAACAGGGGAGAGCTTTGAGGGAACCTGAGCAGCTGCCCAGAACATTCTGAGTGTCCAATAAATGTTAGTAGACATGTGTCTTCAGTAGATACTTTGGGATCTTATATCTACAAAGAAGGAGGCAGCGCCTTTAATTAGTGCCCCAGAGCCAGCCCAGCCTGGAGGTCTGCCTGTGACTTTGGTTAGGGCAGCCTGGGCGGCCTCAGAGGACTCACGGGCAGCCTCAGCACACTGGTCAGAGAGCTCTCCTAGACCGGCTCTCTCTGATGGAGCTCAGGAGCATGCCATGCCAGGAATGCCTTTGGACCCACAAGGATGCCCGGTCAGCAATTTGCAGGCCCAGCAGGGCAGCCCCTGCCCACTGCAGGGCTTGTGGGTGGGCCATGGGCCTCGCACCTGAACGTGCCGCAGCTGCACCTGGGTGGGGCGGCACTGCACGTTGCGGTTGTTACAGCAGCCAGAGCAGCGCTGCACCTCCACGCAGGGCGGCCACACCAGGAAGTTGGCGTTGGTGCGGTCTATGAGGCGCCGGGAGATCTCAAACACCTCGGTGCGGGTCTTGCACTCAGCGATCATGGCTGGCTCAGCAACCGTCGGGGAACCTGAAGGGAGGGGAACCATCAGGAGGATGGGCCTGCCTGGAGCCCCACCTGGCAGCAAAGCCCAGTGGGACACCTCAGGGACATTCTCCCTTCAGATGGCCAGCGAGTCCCACTTCCTTCAACCCCCAGGGGCTGGCAGAGCTTTTGTGTCCTGGCTGTTATCAGCCATGGGACTTGGGCAGGTTGCTGATGTGCTCTAAGCCTCAGTTTCCCCATATGCAAAATAGGGGTGATGAGATCTACACCCAAGACCCACTGTAAGGACCCAGTGACACATTCCGAGATCACTGGCATGTTGTAAATGTCAGTTGCCTTCCAGCAACCCTTAGCCACTTCATCCTATGATGTCACATATTTATGGGTTTGCCCAACAAGTGGCCCTTTCTTGTGTGTCATCCTGTAACCACTCTTACGTTGCTTATACTATAACCTAGTCTTACACATAGCTTCTTTCAGAGTTTGGTTTCCTCATCCACGGAATGGGGTGGTAACCGTGCCTGCACTGCACGTGCGCACCTACAGAGAAACGTGAGCGAAGCCCAGCCTGCACAGCAGGCAGTCGGTGCTGGAGCTCCGTCTAACTCTGGGGGAGACTGAGGCTCCCAGAGCTCGACTCGCTATCCAAAGTCACAGAGTGAAGAGGGGAACTCAGGCCACTGCCTCTTATCCAGAGGTCCCCCACCACTGTCTACAGTGTTCTGGGGACTGCAGGTGAGCAGAGAGGACAAGGCGCTTGGAGGTGGCACTGGCCTCCCCTGGCAAGGCTTTTGGGGTAGCTAGTGCTTTACATTCCTCTTTTAATTTCTGTGATTGAGGAAGCAAGCTCCCGGCTCTGCTCCCTGCCTGCTGTCCCAGCCACAGCCCTTAGCTGCGGCAGAGACACACAGCCCCCCAGGATGACATTGGGTTCAGGGGAGCACTACTGGGGTCCCAGCCCCACCACTTGCTGCTGTGTGATGTAGCCACTTTTTTACCCTCTCTGGGCCCCACTTTCCAATTCTATAAAATGGGGCTAATAATATCTATCTCTAGGGTTGAAGTAATGAACAAATGAGTTTAAAAAGCACTATATTAGGAAACAGTATGTGTTGTGGGGGGGTGTCACGATGACTCAACTCCTCATATAGGGTATTTCAGGGTGGTCATTCTCCCTTAGCTTGACTCAGTCCTGAGTGTGGGATGAGCAGGGACGGCCTCCAGAGCCCTGGGCCAGCCGGGTGCCCAGCTCTCCCTCCCTGGCTCCCACCTCTGAGCGCCCGCCATCTCACTGGCCGTCTTACCTAGGCTCCTCCTCCCACGGGGTAAGCTCTCCAGCTCGCCTCCAGAATGGGGCCGGGTCACATTTAGGTCCAGCCCAGCCCCGTCTTCACCTGCAAGAGAAGGCATGGCCAGATGTACGTGGAGAACTGTTGGCTGGCCGGACCTTCACCATCAGTGGGAGAGGGAGTGCTGAGGGGTCTGGGTAGGTGGGAGGATTGCCTTCACTCCTCACTGGTACCCCACTCCACAGAACAGTCTCCTCTTCTGGCTCCCTGCAAACCCAAGGGTCCCAGCACTGAACAGGGGCCCTGCAGGCAGACCCCAGGGTGGCCATGGGGATCAGGGATGGCAGGATGCTGACTGCATCCTCAGGAGCCTTCAGCCCCACCCTGGGCTCTTCAGCCACATTTTTGGATAGAACCCATGTCATTGGAGTTAAAAATAACCCTTCCCTTTTGCTACTGTAAGTGAACCCTCCTCAGCCTCCAGGGCAGGGCGAGGACCCAGAGCCCTGAAGGCCAGTTTCCAATGCCCTCCGCCCAGTGTTCCCACAGGAAGTGCTGAATGGAGCAATTCCCAGAATCCCCAGGGGGACCGGCATGCCCTGGACACAGCCCCTCTGGAGCCCCTGACGATGGCCCAGTTGGTAGAGAGGAGGGGGAAGAAAGAGAAGAGGAGGTGGGGGCTGCAAGCAGAGAGAGGGTGGGGTACTGGGCCTGCTGGGATGGGGGAGCCCCTGCCCCGCTCCCTCAGGTCTCAGCCTCCCCAGCTCCCCAGCTCCCAGTCTCTCATCATGTGCCCTCTAACCTTTGCCCTATGCCTGCCCTACGCTGTTCATTTATTCCTAAGGTCACAAACTACAGCTCTCTTCTCCAGCCTGGGAGGCTCTCCTCTCTGCACCACCAGCACCCCTCTGAGATATCCTGTGGGAGGGGAGGGCGGGACAGGAGGGCTTTGGGCTTCAAGCTGAATGGTGGGCAGACCCTTCTAGCTCTCAGGCGGCTGAAGAGCCAGCAAATGAAGCACGTCGGGGACGAGCTCCTGCCCTCTCCACGCAGCACCCGGAGGCTCACACCATCTCCTGATTCCCTCCCTGCCAGTGACAAGGCTCCTGCTCTTCTGTCCAGGCTCCAGGGGCTCCCAGTCAGAGGAGCCTGTCCTATGGCTGGTGCATTCCCGGCTAGCCTGCTGCTCCCACGCCAGCTCATCTGTGCCTCTTGATCCCTTCCTTTCTCCCTGCCATCTCTGGAATGTCCCTGGTCAGGAGGAGATGGGAAAAGATGTGCTTTGTGGAATGGGTAAGTTGGATAGGAAAAAATAGCCACATGGTTGCCTCAAAACAGGCCTGCTATTGAAAACCCCATCTCAGATCCCGACCCCCACCGGGGGGGATGTAGGGGCTGTCAGAGGGTGGGGGTGAAGGGCCTTGGAAAGAAACAGCAGAAAGGCTAAATTTGGAAGTTGCCCCATTGTGTTGGCCAGGGCACGCCAGTCGGGCATGGGGTGGGGGGTGTGGGAGACATTGGGTGGGGGGACCAGTGAACAATAGGTGGGCCCAGCTGGGGCCCCCTCCCGCCTGCCTCAGCAGCCCCCAGCACAGGCGGGTTTGAAAGGGCCCGGGAATGCTTTTGAGAGGGAGCCAGGGGCCCAATGGGGAGAGGAAACAAAGGCAGGAAATGCTGTCCCCCGTAGATAGCAGTCTGGGCAAGGATTACAAAGTGACAAAGAGACAAAACCCCAGAGGGCAGGGGAGCTGGGGGTGCAGGGTGGGGGGTGCCGACCAGGGCTCCAGGAACAGGCCAGAGGTTAGAATAGAATGGAATTTGCTCTGAAGACAGCGGTTTATAAATACATTCCTGACCCAGCCCGCCGACTCGCCACGTGTATGCCACCAAGCACGTGCCCATTTGCTGAGCCTGCTCTTGGGCACGGGCAGGGCTGCTTGCTGGTCCCAGCCAGGTGTCCCCAGGGGACCTTGTAGAGCGGGCCTTCGGCCAGAGGGGCAGGGAGGTGACTCCTCCGGCACCACCCTCCCTGGCTGAGTCCACAACTGGATACACATATGGCAGATGCCCGGGGCATCTTCTCCCTGCCTCCAGGTACCCCACCCTCTGCACCAAGCCAGAGTCACATGTGGGTGCTTCCATACCACGCCCCACATCCCAGGTATCAACCCGTCTACCTAATCAGCCCTGCCCTGGACAGGTGTGGCCGAGCCCTCCCTGAGCTGCCACAGGACTCTGGTTCTCTGAAAGTCAGGAAGAGGGGATGCCCCTTGCCCTGTCCCTCCCAGTTCCCAAGGGCTTGATGGAAGGCCAGGGCTCTTAACGAGGATTCAATTTACCTACGGAGTCTCCATGCAGCAGGCGCTGGAGGTCATCGAAGGAGCGGATTGCGTGGTCACTCAGCATCTCATAGAGCTCCTCTGGAATGGGGTCCCCCTGCCAGGCAAACATCATAGGGCCAAATGAGCTGGGACTGGGGGCTTTCCAGCCATGGCCCTGTTCCCCCTGGCAAGCACACTCCCTCCTAAGGAAAGCTCCCACAGGGCCTCTCAGCCATGGGCAAATGGACAGCTAGTCTAGAGGAGGGTAGGGGGCAGGTTCCAGGCCTGACAACCAGGAGCACAAAGGCCTGGCGGCCAAAACCTGCCAAAGCCTTTAAGACCCAGCGTGGACGCTGCGTCCCTCGCCCAAATGGGAAGCCCAGCTTGCTTTGAGTTAGATTTGATTGTGAACATCTGTCTCCCCCACCACACTATAGGTTCCGGAAGGCTAAAATAATCTTTCTGCTTCTCCTCCACACCTGAGAGCTAATGACAGCCAGCATTTGTCATGAGAGACCTAATTACCCCATTTTACAAATGAGAAAACAGAGGCTCAAATAGGCGACATTCTTTGTCTGAGTCCTATAGCCAATTATCAACAGAAACCCCATTCAAACCCAAGTCTTTCTGGCAACAGAGCCTGTACTCCCAGACTCCTGGGTACATGAGGTGCTTAATAAATGCTTGCAGCGTTGGGTGGTCTCAGTCTCAGGAGGCCACGTATTCTAATGATATCTATTTAGTCTCTTGCTCAGAAGAGGAGAAAAGGGAATCCTCAGATACGTCCGGGAAACCTGAAAGCTTACCCATGCCCCATGCCCAACCAAGCCCTATTTTTAGAGCCCCTCTGGCCTGTTACCAAAAACACTTGAAACTTAATAAGTGCTTTAACAGGCCCCACTGGGAGCCGGGCTTCCTCCAGGGAAACCACAGGTCCCGCAGTGACATGACAGCAGTCCTAAGGGAAGGTCACAACCATGTCCTCCACGGTCCAGGGAGACCCGAGGGGCTGATGCCAGAGGTCTTGAGAAAGACGGCACAACCCAGACACCAGTGCCTCAGGGCAAAGCAAATGCGTAAGATGTTGCTGCATGTCCAAGCTCACACCCATGCACACGCATAAACACACAGAGGCACGGTTTTGCAGGAGTCCTGGAGAGGGAGTCAGCAGACTTGACTTAATACTGTTTAACCTCGGGTTAAACAACTCTGTGCCTCAGTTTCCCTGGATTAGGAAGGGGTCCAAGGAAGGCGGGGAGGTCATCTCAAAAGCTCTGCTAGAAACCTGCTGACTGCTCAGTTTCTAGACTCCCCCAAAGCTCCATCTCCTCAACATTTATCATAGTGTCTAGGACACTGCCTCCAGGCTTCCACCATGCCCAGCTCTGGCCACTTGAGCCAGCTTTGCAGCCAGAAGACCCAGAGTGGATTGTGGGCATGACCACTTTTAAAAAGAACTCCTTGAAACCCCTCAGCTCCATTTCTTCCCTTGTACACGAAGCGTGCAGTCCTGCATGGTGTCTAGGGCTGTTAGGAGGTCCCAGGGAGGGCAAGTTGGGGCCTAGCTGTACAGTTGGCTGGGAGCTGGGGCCCCTGTGCAGCCAGGGAGCCAGGAAGATGGAGTGAGATGGATGAGGGGTGGCTTGGCTGTGCCTCCCCTTACCCCCCATCTCCCCCATGTGCCACCCCCTCCAAAGCCAGGACAGACCACACCTTGCCGAGCCAGGGCCCAACCCACAGAGCAGAAGGCAGGTGGCCAGTCTCCAGGTAAGACCAAGGCAGCTACTTCTCCTAAGGGTTTTGTCAACCCCAGAACCGGTTGTCCAGAGAGCTGGATTCTATCTACCCTTTAACTGCTATTAACCAACCTGTGAACCTCAGGCTAGTCACTGCCCCACTAGTCCTGACTCTTGTCGGTGCATCAAGGGGGTTGAGACATTTGATCCCATTCTAATTCTGCCTGCCTGGGGGGTATCAGGAAAAGCAGCAGAGGAAAGCCAGGGGTGGGGGTGCCCAGTCAGGTCTTCCAGGCTGTTTGTGGAGTAATGACTCAATTACCCCTCCCTGGGAGAGGGTCCCAAAGGCCCAGTGCCAAATAGCATATAGTACTCAAGCCAAGACTTCCTAGCCCACTAGAGAGCTGGGTGCAGCTGCCAGCCATGGCAAAATAGTCAGACCCCCATTCAGGTCTAGCAGATGCCCCAGACCCAGCCTATGATGCAAAGGAGATGATGTCTTATGGAAACAAACCCAGACCTTCCAGGCTGCATGGAGAAAGCCCAGGATAGAGACTGGGGAGGGAGATGAAGCACACAGTAGGTGTTCAATAAATATGGTAGAATGCATGAAGGATTCTCCCCTTCCTTCTGAGGTTTAATCCTGAATGGTTCTGCCATGTTCTCCACCAGGCGACCCTCCTGGGATATTCTTGCCGCCCTGCCCCCCAGCAAATTGTGTCCTAAACAACCACTTTATTCTAAGCAGAAAAGCCATTCTTGCAACATGCTTAATAGTAATTTGGCCCCTGTTTGTCCAGAACTCACTAAGAGCCCCTGCACTGGAAAATAATACTAGAGCTAATTTTATTAAGCAATGACTATGAGAGGCACTGAGACAAGTGCTGTATTAACTACCAGTCCCAAGAATCTGGCTCCATTTTTAATCCCTGTCTTTCAGATGAGGAAGCTGAGGCTTAGAAAAAATTAAATAAATGGCCATGGTTCCACATTACTCAAAAGTAGCACAGCCACGTGCCCCCCCACTCTCCGCCCCCACCTTCCAGCCCACCATGGAGCTTCTCAGCAACCTGCTTAGTCAGTGGGGCCCTTAGCCCTGCAGGCAGTTCTCAGCCAGGGGCAGGTGAACCTGTGAACCTCAGGCTAGTCACTGCCCCGCTGCCCCACTGGTCCTGGCTCTCGTCTGTGAATCAAGGGGTTGAGACATTTGATTCCATTCTAATTCTGCCTGGTTCATAGGATGGTTAGTTTTAAAGGCATTTACAGGAGTCCTGCTAGCGTCTAGTAGGTGAAGGCCAGATGCTGCCCAACAGCCTACTATGCACAGGACAGTCTCCCACAATAAAGAATTATCTGGCTCAAAGTGTCAACAGTGCAGAGGTTAAAAACTGTAGTTTTTTAAAGAGCAAGGGCTGCGGTTGCCAAGGAAACCAGGACTCTTGGATTAAGTTTTTTAACAACCTAAAATCTCAGCTTCCTTATCTTTAAAATGGACCTAATAAGACCTCACCAGGATTATTGGGAGGCATAATTGCACCTAGCAGAGCAGCCAGCAAGTAATGGGCACTCGAGGAACTGTCACTGTGGTCATCATTCCTTCATGTGGCTTCTTTGAGGGCAGCAGCAAGCAGCGCACAGGCCCAGGGCCAGCGGTGCAGGACCTTTTCAGGGATGACAATGGGTAGGTGGAGAGCTGCCTGCCTACGGGAGAAGGTGTGGCTTTGCATTATCCCTGTCTGGGCAACCAGAGCCGGCACCCTAGCCCCACATGGGCACTGCCTGGGTCCCTGTGGGTTGGTGGGCCCTTCCAGGGCTGGGGGTGGGTGAGGGGTAGGGAAATTCGGCCTCTGGTCAGCTCCAGGATGCAATGCCCTGGCGGAGACTTGTGTGGGCACTTGCTTGCAGTCAAAGGCTCCTCTTGGTGTGGAAGGGTAAGCAGCTTCAAGCCCAGTTTTCCTGGGCACAGGTTCTAGAAGCCTCAGGGGGTAGCTCCCCTGGGAGATTGGAAAGGAGGCCTGGCACCCTGGTAAAGCTGCCCCAGATCTCAGGTCTGGGGTTTCTGGCAGGGCAGGGGCGTGGTGAGAAGGCAGCTGGGGCACAGCCAGCCAGGGTAGCCAAGGCAAACAGCCTCCTCCCCGCCCCACCCCACCCCCAATGCCAGCTGCAGAGGTAGGAAGGGTGCAAGTTAGCGTGAGGCCAGGTGAATTACCTTCTCCCAACCAGGCTGGCAGATCAAAGGGGCCTGGACCCCACCCTTCCCCTGGGCGCCACTGAACACACAGATACACACTCCTCAGCCTGCTTGTTGGTCTGCTGAGGGAGACGACACAGCCTCGGCCCAAGCAACAGGGGCGTTGTCTGTGGCTGGCAGAGAGAGAAGCAGACAAGGCCTCTGAGGGCCCGCTTGCCTGAGAGTCTCAGCCTGATTTAGATTCAATGCCAAAGTCAAGCCCTCTGAAGGAGCCTTTTCTGGGCAGGCCATAGAAGCCATTTGGAACTAGCCTTCCCCACCTAGCATTTCCCTCCTCTACTGCTCCTGGGACCCCTCCTTAATGTTACCCCAGCACCCTCCCCACCACAGTCACTGACCCCAACCCCAGCCCCCTTCCAACTCATAGCATCGATGGGGCCCAGGAATCTGCATTTTCAAGAGGCCAGGCAATTCTGCTCTTCTTGGGGAACCCTGAGCTAATCCAACCTTCTCATTTTTTTAGGTGGCAGAAACCGAGGCCCAACTGAAGACACACAGAACCTCTGCAATTTGATTTTCCTTCTGTTTCTTCCCCTCTGTCCGGTCCAATCTTGGCAGTCCAAGTCCAAGACACAGAAAAGAAAGACATGTTTGTCTGGCAGGGGGTGGGGGTACCAGGGGTGGCTCAAATGAGGGAGTCTGCCAGAGGGCAGTGTGGCCATGCTATGTTGCCCTCGGGAGCCAAGACTAAATAAGGCCATGTTTATAAAGCACTTAGCAAGTGCTAGACACGTGTCTGGTCCTTCCCTTCCCCCTTCCCCCACCTCCCCCCAGGACTCACTGTCCTCTCCACACATATTTACAGATTATCTACCTTGGATCAGGCACCGTTCTCAGCATGGCAGACAGTGGTGACCAAGATGAAGATCTCTAGTGGAGTTTATATTCCAGAGAGGAAAAACAGATAATAAACAAACAAATATACCAGGAAATGAAAATAGCTGTCCAAGAAGAGGTGTGATAAAGGGAGGTAGAGGACTTATGAGGCCAGGGGCAAACACCTCTTCACCCCCCCTGCTGAATCTCACTCTCTCACACACACACACACACACACACACACACACACTGTTACATACACAGTTACACACACACACACACACACACACACTGTTCCTGGTCTTGCACGAGAGCCTTCAAATTCTGTTTGCTCCTTGCAGACACTTCTAGGGCTGGGAGAGTCCAGCAAGTCAGTGCACCATGACCCAAGGCAGTTAGCAAACTAGAAAGAAGCCAGATGCTGAAGGGAGGCCTGGCCCCTTCACTCCTTCCTAGCAGAGGGGTGCTGAGGCCAAAGGCATCACATGATAGAGTCACCTTCCCAGAAGCCAGCTCAGCTGATGGAGATGGGACTTTGCAGACCTCACCCCACCATCCACCAGGTCCCATCTCAGAGCTCCCAGCCTTCCTTTCACCTGCTGAGGCCTCCACCTGAGGCTCAGACCAAGCACGCCCAGGACATGGCCAGCCCCAAGGCCACCTCCACCAGCAAGCCCTCTCAGAGTCTGCCTTCCTGGACTGGCCCCCCTATTCAACCATGTTCCCTTTTAGTCTCCTCCCTCAGAGCCGCCTGCGGCTTAGACAGGCTTAGCAGGAAAGTGCTTCGTAAACTGCAAAGCACAGCATTGTGGGTTCCTGAAGGCCACGTGTTCAAGGATGCTGTGAATAAAGTGAGGAGAAAGGCACCAGCTTCTGTGCCATAGCCGCCCCCCCACCAGCACACATCCCAGTGGAGTTGAGGAAAAGGAGGCGGAGGTGCTGGCTGAAGCTGTAAATGGGAGAGCAGGCCTGAGAGAGTTGCATCCAGCCGTCACGCAGCCGCTCCACATCATGCTGGAGTCAGCAGTGAGGGCAGAGCAGTCCGAGGTGGGAGTCCCCGTCAGTCCGTGTCCCCCGACCCCCCACACCAGTCTCAGAGGTGCAGAAAATGGCTTATTCTAAGGAGAAATACTCTGGACATCACAGCGCCCCCCCAGGCACATCAACACCATTTCCAGCCACATGCGGGTGGTTGAAAAACAGCAATCACAGGGGTAAAGCTTGAGGGGCATCAAGCTGACCTGACCAGGCAAGACAAAGTGGGTGCTGTGGAGTCAGGATGTGAGGAAGGGTCCCTGTTTCCCCTCCCTCCTAGGAACCAGAAAGGATACGGGGTCACTACAGAAGCGAGGAGGTCCCAAGGGCCCTCGGACGGCCCACCTGTGGCCGGGGTTGGGCACCTGACTCCGGGTGTACAGGGGCGTGCGTACGTGGGTGTGCGCGCACGTGTGTTCAGGTCGCGTGTTCGGGGATTATGCGTGCATGTGTGTGCGGTGCGCGCTCGTGTGCCCCGCGTGTGCACGGGCCTGGCGGCGGCGGGCGCGCGACCCTGCAGAGGTAGTGCGTGCCCGTCGCTCTGTGCGCCCGCCCGCCGGAGCGCAGCATCGCCTCCGGCCAAGAGCGTGCATGCGTGGGGTGAGTGAACGAGTCGGGGGGCCGTGCGGGGTGGGCTGCGCAGAGCAGCGGCGGGGGCGCCGCCGTTCCCAGGACGCCCTGGCACCAGGCCCAGCCCCCAGGCCTCGCGGCTAGGCGAGGCGGCAGCTGGGGCCGGCCGGCGCCCCCCTCCCCAACAGCTGGCTGCGGCCCGGGGGGCTGCGGGAAAGGAGAGGAGGGGCGTCAGGAGGGGCCTGCAAAAGGCCGGGCCGAGCCCCGCGTCCTCCCTCCCGGGCGCGGGCCGCGAGGGGTGGCCACGGAAGGGCGGGGCCCCAGGGCGGGCGGCCGGCGGCCCTCGAGGAGCCCCGAGAACAAAAGGAGACGGCGACGACTCCTCTGTGGTCAAAACAACCTGCGCTGGCGGCGGCCCAAGGCCTGGCCGCGGCCTCGGAGCCCTTCACCTTAACCCCTTCGCCGCCGCAGCTGCCTCCTTCCTGCACCTTGTCGGAGGCCGAGGGCCGGCTGTTCTAAGAGCGGGAGAGGGGTGGGCTCCGGCTGCGGGCGAGCGGAGGCGGGACGGGACCCAGGCACGCCGCGCTCCCCGCTGCCCTCTCCTCCCATCCACCTCGCACCTCCCTGCCCCGCCCCCTTTCCCACCTGGATTCCGGGTGGACTTGCCAACTCACTGCTACGTGCGGCTGGGAGGAGTAGGGGGGACTGATCCGACCTGGTAACTCCCGCAGACGTTTTTATACCTCATCTCCCTCGCAGCTAGGCTTTTACAGGCGGCGCGCTCCACACCCTGCAAGCGGGGGAGAGGTGCTTCCTCTCGCGGGGCGCGGGCGCAGGTATGGCGACGCCTCAGGCACACACCGCCCCAGGGGCTGGATTCCTTAAGAGCCCCCACTCGTCCCCAGTTCCCGAGTGTCCAGAATCTTCGCTCGGCCCCCCTCACCACCACCACCACCCCCGTCCCGCGTCCCGGACATTAGCTGCCCTTGGACTGCGCTGTGGGGCTGGGCAAGCCCTGCGCAGGCCGGAGGGCGTCTACCCCAATCGAGAGCTGGAGCCAGGGTGGGACGCAACCCCCCACCGAAGGTTGGCGTGGCTGCCACCGGGGCGCGCGCTCGCACCCATGCAAGCGGGTCCTGGACAGAACCTAAGCTGTAACCGAAGTGGGCTTGAGAGTACGCGCTGTCTTCTGCACCCGCGGCACCACCCCACACCCTCTCCCTTTGGCTGGGAAGGGGCTTATTCTCGGGTGCCAAGGGGTGGGGTACAGGACCGCACATACCCTCCTACCCAGACGCTTAAAGGCTCAGAGATCTAGGATCGCCCCCTGAGAAAGAAAGCCACTGCTACCCCCTCGCCTTAGAGCCTAGCACCTCCCGGACCTCTCGTTCCAGCCCTCGGAGGTCACCTAGTGCCCAGCGCCAGGCTCAAGGGCTGCAAGGGTCCAAAGTTCACTGCGGGGAGAGGGGGCGGCCAGGGGTGGGGGTAGGGATAACCAATGAAGCCAACCAGCTCCAACCGCCGTCGCAACTCACCTCGGCGCTGACCAGACGCAGGTAGCAGCAGAGAGACAGGAAGAGCGCCCAGCAGCGATTCATGCCGACTCCGGGCCCGGCCCCACGGGGCCCCGGACGCGTGTACCGAGCGCGCCGCCCCCGAGGCCAGGGTGGGGGGCGGGGGCTGGGGAGGGAGGTGGGCTCTGCTCGGGTCTGCGGCGATCAGGCGCTCAGGCCTCTGCAGCCGCCGCCGCGGCTCACCCGCATGGCCCCTGGGCGCCGCCGCCCTCGACCCCGTCTCCGTCGTTGGAGGCTGGGGAAGGCCTGGGCACGGGACCAGGGTCCGAGGCCGCTACCTGGGCGGATCCCGAGCCCGAGAGAGCATCCACGGCCTGGGGTCTGCGTCGCGAACCAGGAGAGACGTCTAGCCGTGTGGGGGCGCCCAGGGGACTCCAACCTCCAAGAGGAGGAAGAACACGGCAGTCTGTGGTTCGTCTTCGATGGTTCGTCCGGCTAAAGGCGTTTTCCTCTGCCCTCCGGCTTAGCTTTTTTGCAACATTTTCTAGAAAGGTTCCCGAAGTCGGAAAGTGCAGAGCTGGGCACCTCAAAACCAAAGTCTCCCCCAAAAAACTTTTTCCAAAGTTGGCTTTGCAGCGGCGGCCCGAGTACCCGGGCAGGGAGAGGTGCAAACTCCTGCCCGGGCCGGGGGAGGGGGGGCCGGAGCGTGTGCGCCCTGGCGCGGGGCCCGGGCGGCGGGCACGGCTGTTCCGCGCGCGGGGCGTGCCCGCTGCGCGCAGTGCCGGGCGCGGCAGACAGGTGGACGCGGCGCGATTCCGTCTGTCCTTCTGTCAGTCCGCTCGCAGCTCTGGGCGTCCTCTGCGGGCTGCGAGCTGCGGCTGCTCCGGCTTTCTTTTTGCAACGAGGCTGGAGGGTGGGCTTCCCCCCCACCTTTTTGCGCGTGTGTGTTATGTGTGTGTGTGCGCAAAATATCTCTATCTCGGGAATGAAAGATGGGCGCTGGCGGCCGGAGGGGAGCCCTTAGAGAGGCAGCGGGGGAGGCTGCGGGCGCGCGGGGAGGCAGACGGGCTGCACCCGGCGGCAGGAGGAGAAGTTGCCACCCTTTCAGCTGTTCCGGCCTTTATAAAGGAGAAGGGAGAGTGCGAGAGGTGGGTGGAGACAGCCTTTCCTCTTCTGGCCGAGAGTCAGCGCCGGGAGGGAGGGGAGCTCCGAGAGGGCCTGGGGCGGGGGCGGAGCGCTTAGGGGGTCCCCGAGAGCCCTGCAGCTCCTCCGTCCGGGAATCTGGCCCCTGGGAAGAGAGAACTAGGGGCAGCCGAGCGCCCCACCCCTCAGCACAGTGACCGTGGCCTGATTTTTAGCCCACGTGGTCAGGGATTGTCTCCAGGGCCACAGCCTGCAGTCCAAACTCGCGGTTCCACGACCAGACATTTGCACCTGGCACAGGCATGGTGGTGAAGGACTCAGGCTCTGTAGCTTGGTTCAGATCCTGCCCTGGCTCTGAGTAAGCTGGGTCACCTTGGGCAAGTCACTTCCTTTCTGTGCTACTCGATCTAGCCTCAAAGTAGGATAGGATTGTTGTGAGGACTTAATGCCAGAAAGGGCAGAGAGCAGCCAGCCACAAGGTGATGGCACAAACCCCGCAGCCAGTACCATTCAGCTGAGAGCTGGGTCCGTGTCTCCTCCTGCCAGCTGGTTGCCTGGCACACAACAGACACTGCTGGCATTGGATGAATTTGAATTTGTTGAACTGCGAAGTCACACAAACCCCCACAACCCTGCGGCATCCTCCTAGGGCCGCCATCATGATCCTACAATTCTCCTGTTTACTACCTCCCTCAGCCCCCAGGTTCGAGGCCCAGGGCCCCCCACCCACACCAGCATTCACACAGTTGATGCCTGCCACCCCCAGCTCTGGGAGCTGCTATGTCCCTGCCTTTAGCGGTCACAGTCACTGAGTCACACGCAGACCCACTGAGCCCAGTACCCACCCAGGGCCTGCCGGCTCACACACTGCCCCATCCTGGCTATGAGACACCTTTATCTGGTCCCTGTACACTGTCTCTGTCGCCTGCCCTGTGTATCCAAACATCCCTTTGGATCAGCCTGCTCCCCACATGTGCACACACCCTCGACCCTTGAGACAGGTGCACCGCCATCTCTTAATAAGCCATCTTCTCAGACCTGAGTAGAGATGGCATGGAGAAGGGAGGATTTCCCAGGTGTCTCTTTACGAACAGCCACAGGCACCCACTCTGTGCCCATTACCACCAAGGCAGCGAGAGGGCAAGAGGCAGGCCAGGGCAGGTCACCGTGGTTCAAATCCTGGCAAGGCGACTTGCTGGCTGAGGGTCTCTGGAAATTTTAGCCTCTCTGCCTTGATTTCCTCCCCTATAAACTGGAGATAAATCCATAATTGGAGGGAGGGAGGGAGGGATTTCAAAGAGGCATGGGAAAATTTTAGGGGTAATGGAAATGTTTGTCATCTTTGCTTGTAATGATGGGTTCAGAGATACATACATCTATCCAAAATGATAGGTGCAGTTTAGTGTGCCTCAATCCAGTTGTAGAAGAATTTTTACTGGCCTCACAGAGTGGTTTGGAGGCCCAGATGCAGTGATGCACGTGGAAGCACAGAGCAGGATGCCTGGCTCATGGAGTGCCTTGTGCCTGCACCCCAGCTTGCGTGTTCTCGGTGGCTGGGCATTATGCTAATACAGCCTTCTGCACTGGAGGAACCCCCATCTAGGAGGACAGACAGATGCATAAACAGATAATTAGGAGACAGGGAACAGGGGAAACAGGGTGGGTAGTGGGGGGGGAAATGGGAAGATAATCTCAAAATGCAAGATTTGAAGTCTAGAGACTTAGAAATAAAGCCCTGTCCCACCTGAGAGATAGGTGATCTTGACCTTGACCCTCTGTGTCCTTATCTATAAATAAGCCATTATTATTGAGGTGACCATGTGATAGGTAGTATTCTTCTTACGCTGCATGTAGCCTCTCAGTGCTCCTGTAAGATGTTACTCCTACCTTACAAATGGGGAAATCGAAGCTCAGAGACGTTAAGCAATTTGTCCAAGGTCACACTGACAGTAAGTGGTAGAGCCAGGACTTGAGCTCAAGTAGTCCAGCTGCAGAGCCCATGGGCTTAAAACACGATGCTCTGTGACTCCTGGCTGGTGATGGTGATGACAGTGACACTTTTAACACAGGGCTTTTATAAGCATCAAACACAATATATGTCAAAGTGCTTGACCAGCTAAAGTGCCACATCAATATGAGTTCTGACTACATACAGAGGGCCATAGGAGCACAAAGGAGGGAGCCCACAGCTCGGCCCAGGGGAGGGATGCAAAGGAGGGAAGGTCACTGGGAGCAGCAGCATTGAGCACCTACCATGTGCAGGCCCTGTGTGAGGCACTGGGAAATGGAGTGAGGAAGGAGACTCAGTCCTGGCATTCTGGGACCTCCCAGGCTCTTGCGTGAAGCAAACACAAATCATTACAACCCCGATGTCTTTGTGCACCGGTTAGAAGTGCAGCAGGGCCAGCCGACGCATCAGGGACCACATGGCACCTGGTAGGAGTGTCATGCTAAGGAGAACCCTTTCCTGTGCTCTTCCTCGCAGAAACCATCTCACTATGTGGGCCTTTCCACTCAAGCAATCTGCCAAAGAACACCTCCTCTTCCTCCTCTCAGGTACCCTTAGTACATACCTCCTCCAGGAAGCCTCCCAGGCTTGGTGCTTGCTCTGGGTTCCCACAGCATATAGTTCAGGTATTGTCATTGCCATTTATCAGTCTGGCACTCGACTGAGATCCAGGTGAGCAGGGCTTCATTCCAGCTCCCACCATATACTAATTGCTCAAAAAATGTCTGAAGTAATGAATAAATGAGTAAACACCTTGCCTGTTTCTTCCTGAGTCCTGGCCTGTTGGTGCAAAGACGCCAGGCCTTGCCCAAGGGGTGGAAAGAGTTGGGAAAGGGGCTTGTAACATGCCCTCTAAACTGTGCTGCACAGAGCCACTTAGGGGCACCCGTCCCACAGACCTGGAAGGCCCCAGCCCATCCTTGGCATTGGGGTCACTGAGGAATCAGACTGTCCAGTAGGTCTGGGCGTGGGTTATATGGGGTGGCGGCCACAGCCCCATAGCTCTCACCCCCTACTCTCCTGATAGGTCTGAGCCAAGTGGAAAATAGAGTGGCCACAGCCGGCAGCTAAGTGCTGGGGAGGGGGCACTGCCCAAGGTGGGGGCTTTTTAGACTGTGTGTAGAGTGGTGGAAGCTCTCATCCACTGAAAGCATCTCACATCTGGGGGCTGTGTGGGGGGTGTAAGGCTGAGGAGGAGTTCACTTCAACCCCAGGGGCAGACATTTGGCCTTAAGTCCAGAGTGGGTATTCCCGCTCTACCGAGAGGGCCTGAACACATTTGCCTCTCCCTGCAGGATGGAGGGGAAAGCGGGGCTCCAAACTGGGGGCAGTCCAAGGCCATGCCACAAATGACCTGCAGCCCAGCCCCAGATTATGATTGCAAAGTGCATAATCTGCTTCCATACAACACCGCATAGCTGCAATCAACTGCCCTAACTCCCCTCACTGCCTCCCCGCCCCCGACCTCCCCATCTGCAAGGGTTTTGCCCTGCTTCTCCCTCAAAGTCACCCAGGGAGGGAGGTATTACATCACATGTGCTCATTTTACAGATGAGGAAACTGAGGCTTAGAGAGGGCAGGAGACTAGGGTTCTCATCAAACACTGCCTGCGTTCAAAGCCTGGCTCTACCACTGACTAGCTTGTGACCTCGAACAAGTTACTTCACCTCTCTGAGCCTCTGCTTCCTCATCTGTAAAGTGTGGACAACAAGAATAATTTCCTCATGGAGTCAAATGAGTGACTACATCCTAAGTGTTGAAAGCATGGAGTGAACACTTCCACGAATGCCTGTTATCACAATGATCATTACTCACTCCAAGCTGCACTTAGGCGCATGCACACATCCCCCTGGGACCGCTCTAGAGACGGGGCTAGGAGAGGAGCCCAAGGCTGGGAAGGCCACAGACACACAGACACATCACCTGGGGCGGTGGGGCTGCGGGGCGGTGGGGGGGAGGGGGACGGTTGGTGGGGGGGAGTCAACCTCATGTACAGCCCTCACCCCTTCTGTTGGAGAGCCCCACCCTGGTGAGGCTCTCCACACTGTGGCTCTGAGTACCAGGGAGTCAGGAGGGACCCCAGGAAGGCAGACAGACGGACAGACCTCAGGCCACAGGCCGCCTGGACGAGCGCATACTGCCTCGGAGGCCTTGGGCCTGTGTCCTGTATACAAAGGCAAGGGAAGCGCAGTGTTTGTTTCCTGGGGTCAAGCCGGTGCATTTTTAGCTCCTCCAGTCTCCAGACAAGGAAGAGGATGTTTGCACAGGGCAGCTCAGATCTACCTGTCCTGGAAGCCGGCTGGAAATGGAGCAAAGCCCCACAGGGTGAGGACAGCTCAGCGGGACTGGGCAGTGAGATGCCTCCACAGGGGATCCGGGGCTGCTGGGTTTGCCACAGGGAAGGCTCATCCTCAGCGCACCCTTTGTTGCCCACCTGCAGGGCCTCAAACACTCTGATGTGCAGGACAACTGCACTTAGAGAGCATTTATCCAGGGCCAAGTGCTTTCCCCTGAACTGACAACAATGATGGGAGCCCAGCGACTGTTACCATTTCTCCAGCAAAGAAGGAGGCCAGCTGAGTCCTTACCCTGCCTGGAGGGCTGGTACTCTGACTGCATTCATACCTGTGGAGGGGCCACTTAGGCTCAGAGAGGGAAGCTAGCTTGCCCAGCATCACCCAGCAAGGATGTGTCAGTGCCGGGATTTGAATCCAGAGCTAGGAAGCCAAAGCCCACACTTCTACCATCTCCCTGCCACAGGATGCCCCCCTGTGTGGCCTGGGTCAGAGCTGCCAGCTTGTCATGTCACTCTGCACACAGATAATTAAACGGATTAACCAGAACACCTCCATCCTCCAAGACAGAGGAGGCTCCCAGCACCTGCCCACCTTCCCAGAACAGGAAGCTGTTTGCAGCCCCCACCAGGCGGGAAGCTGTGCAACAGATCCGGGTTAGCCCCCCTGCTCTTTCCAAATCAGCGTGTCCTTTGCTGCCATGTTCTGAAGATTTCACTAGGGATCCTGGAAGGGATGGGGGCGGGCGGGAGAGAGGCAGGTA